GGGGAATTCTGGGAGTTGAAGTCCACCCATCTGAAAGCTGCCATGGTTAAGAAACACTGTGATATAGGTTTCCTGTGGCCACACTTGGGGGGTACAGTATTATCATTTTTCTTATGATTCCAGTCCCCCAGCTGCTTTGGAATAGGAAGACTGGACTCTGTTGCAGTTATTCTGCAATTATTACACAATGAGATATTGATGATACTTGGGATCCAAAGTGGTATCAACCTGATAGCTATTGTATGTTTTTAACTTGCAAAATATATAGTTCTCAAAAGTGTGAAAATGCAGAGGCTATCCTGCATTTTCTCTCTTCAGAGATGACAGCGCCATAAGAATCCAACACTCTGGTCAGAAATTATTGGTTGCTTAAATCCTATGAAATTCACGGAAATTTTGGAAGCCAGGGTTTGAATAATTTTCTGTAGCGTTAGAGAATAAGAGTTCTTTCTAGTGTTGAACATGCATAGGTTGTAAATATATATAAATATATATAAATTTATATATTAACATGAAACTTAAAACTATGCACTTTTTGCTTAAAGAGCTTAGACCCATGGGTCTAGCTCTCAGAGGTGCAAATACCTCAAGGGATGAAGCTCTGGGCTTTATTACACATTGCCTAAAATATCCAACAGTTGGAAATCCAATGTTCTTGTTTTGTGGCCGATCAATTGGTACTCCTTTCAAGTGACTATTATAAAGCAAGTTAAGTTGAAGCTGATTTTGAATAATATTTTGCAATAAAGCTTTTTGAATACATTTTATGTTTTATTTCTTCAAAACTGTGTGCTGTTTATATAGCGTTTGGGTTAAAAAAAGTTACTTTTTTGGAAAAGAAGATAAAAGGAAGTTGTTAAGGATTGGATCAAGAGGCCACAAAATAAGATAGAAACTGTCTCAGGTCTCTTTTCTGGGGATATAAAGCTTGGAAGAATAGTAGGCTACAAACAAGGGCTTGACAAAGTAAATTTCCTTTGTCTCGTTAATTTGTCTATTGTCTAATGTTCTTCAAACAATGCAAGCTGAGATTGTGTTTGATGTGGTAAATATGAGGGCTTGTTGCAAATTCTTTATTCTAAAGGACAAGATTAACCCTTTGAACTAGAGGGTTTGAGCGAAAACTTGGAGGCAGTTGTGAATGTGTCTGTGGGTTCCCTGCTGTTTGCTCCTATAAATAACCTGATGACATGCATGCCTGAGAGGGCAAATGGAGAAATCCTCTAGATCTGGAGACACGACAACAAGCCCTGGCTGCTTGCTTAAACACATACTGAAGATCTCATCCAGGCTTATTATTTGGCTGCCTTTTCAGGTCAACTATACCAACAAAGTCATTTGTATAGTGAGATGGGTGGCATATATAAACTTGAAAAATGAATGAATGAATGAATGAATGAATGAATGAATGAGTTGGGTTATTTTTCCACCAGGCTGTGCTAGCTATATCATTCCATTTACCATTTTCAATATCTAGTAATAGTTTGTGCTCATCAACTGACCTAATATGGGGATTTTTCACCTATTTCCTCATCTCCTGCCTTTTTTTTTTTTTTAAATTAGCTAACCTGATTTAAGTGTTCAGGAGAACCACAAAGCTTGAATGCTGTTTTGTAACATTTTGATCACTCTTAATAAAGGTATTGATTTTGGCTTTATATATATACATCTACATACACACACACACATACACACACACATAGCAGCTTCCCATGCCATGACAGTGGGAGGCTAGCAGATGACCTGCTATCACAAACTGCAGATCTCCTTACAGTCAACTGGCTTATTTCTCCTCTCTCTCTCATTCATTCCTTTTTGCTTTGCCTCTCCAGATTACAGACCTGAGCCAATAGACAAACACTATCTGTTGTCACTGGCAAGTTAGTCATAATACAACCTTTGCAGGAAAAAAAGGACCCTTTGTGCTATTAATATTGAAACAATTAAAGTAAGCATCATTTGTCTCCTACCTTGCATTGTTTAGATCAATCTTTTTCAACCTGGTAAATGGGTATGTTGGACCAGAACTTCCATCTCATGAACCATGAACCAGTATGGCTATACATCTAGAAGGCAAAAGGCTGAAAAAAGACTGGGCTAGTGTAACATGTCACTTTTTTATTGTTTCTAAGAAAGAGATTAAAAATAGAGTAAAAAGAAGTATTTACATAAATATTCATCATTCATAGATGTGTTATATATAGGTTTATATTATCCTGCACAATCTACATTTAACTCAATTTAATCTAACTTAAAAAAAAAGCAACAGAAGATTAAGTATACAGTATTATAGCTGAACCAAATTTTGAAATAGTTCTCCAGATGAAATTGCCAGCAACATACTGCTTGTTAAAATATGGAAAGAGAAGTAACCTCTTCAGATCATTTTATAATTGATGGAAAATGGGTATTCCTTCATCTGTGCACTGGTAATTGTTTTTGCAAGCTCACGTGCATTTAATGTCCATTTCCTATGTCCTTTTAGTTTCTGTGCCATTAGCATGTAGTTTAAAAATTACACATGAGCATCTCTATAAAAGAACTTCTAACTAAAAAAAATCACACAAGATCACATATTCAAGTGTTATATTATGATCACCACATCTCCATCCATTCGGTGAATCTCTGTTTCTTTCTGGAAAGACCCATATACATTTAATATACATTTTTGTTGAATTAATCATTACTGTAAACCTATAGTAATATTACTTATGGATATCAACATATTTTTGCATTGGTACAGATGTATTGGACATTCCCGCTCTGGATTCTGTGCCTCCTTTTGCACTTCAAAACTAAATTAGTATAATTCAACAGCTACTTACAAACGATTACCATTCTTAGACAGTCTGTTAAATCCTTTATACTTAAAGGGGAGGGGGTTCTAAAACTTAAGTGTGTAGGCCTATATCTATCCATCAAAGCTAGGTTAGGTGGAGGTTTTGTCACTCTGTACTTTTTGGCAAATTATATATTTTTCATCTCCTCAGCTGACAAGAACACACTTGGTTTTATTAATTTATCATATATATATATATATGATATCTTGACACACAGACACACACACACCTTGCTATTTTCCAATTTGGATTTCCCATTGTTAATTTACCATTATCATTATGCTGAAAATGGAGTTGGCATGTTTTTGTATACCACATTAATCCAATGTAACAGAGAAGAAATCCAATATTTTCCAAAGTATCTGGAGATTAAAGCCCTCCAATTTATATGAGTTGGCAAAAATGCTGATTCCAAGATAGCCCATGTGGGGAAACTTCTAGCGGGCAAAAGACTTGTGACAGAAGATATATTTTATGAATAAACCAAAATCTGGAAAATAAACCTTTTTTTTTCCTAACTGACAACTTGGGAAGCTGAAATTTCCTGAATGAAAAATGGAGCTGGGAGTAAACAGTAAACCTCTGAAATGGTAAGTTCAACGTCTGAAAACAAATCTTAAGAAAACATAAAAGGATCTCTCTATATGGAGTAAATTATCAGTGGGAGAATGCTCATTTTAAAATATTAATTTTATCCCAAGTGCTCAAAGTGTAGTCCATCTGTCCAAATTTGATAGCAATGTACTTAAATTCAGCTGGCTCATTTGAGGGGTTCCTCTATATCAGTGTTTCTCAACCTTGACAACTTTAAGATGTGTGGACTTCAACTGCCAGAATTCCCCAGCCAGCAAAGCTGGCTCAGGAATTCTGGGAGTTGAAGTCCACACATCTTAAAGTTGCCAAGGTTGAGAAGCACTGATCTAGATATTTTCAATTCAAGATATTATATCATTGTCATTCTTTTTGTGATACTGAATGAAAGAAAATGAAAGAGAGGGAGGGCAGCATCTTCCCCTCTCTCTGAACAGACCCAAGAAGCAAAATATAATGTCAGCACAGCTACAGTAAATAGCTGGCATGGATGGGAGCCCATTCATTAATTTCCTGGATTCCTTGTAGTAAACTGTAAATGCTTTAGGTATACGCTTCAGGAAAATAAGTGGAAAAAATGCTACCTTCAGGCCCTTGGAGAGAGAAAAGA